CTCATGCTTCTTATTGGCCAGCTCTTATATCTTAAATTAACCCATTTCTATTAATCTGTGTATTGCCATGTGACTGTGGCTTACCAGGCAAAGTTCCAGTGTCTGTCTCCTCCAGTGGTTACTTGACTTCTCACTGACTCTGCCTACTCTCTCTCTATACCTTTCCAGCCTACCTATATTCTGTTAAGCCATTGGCTGAAAGTAGCTTCTTTATTAACCAATGGTCTTCACACCATACAGAGAGGAATCCCACATTACACACCCAACTCAGAGGCTGCAGTTCTATAAATGGTTCCAGTGCATGGCTGACTGCTTACTGTGGCAGAGTCAAGGACCTTTGCCCATCTTATGCTGAGCATGAAGAAGGGCTGTGGAGATGCACAGGGAAACCACAAGGTGTGTGCCTGTCCTGTCCTATCTGTCATGTCTATGACTGGGCTTTCGATGAGCAAACTCATTATTGTCAACACCACAAGAAGAAGGCAGAAGTAGAAGATGGCCCAGCACATGTGAACATCAGCGTTTCCAGATACTGTGGAAGTCAGATGCTGCTGAGTGTCTTCTCCGGAGAAGCATGGAATACGGCGTTTCCTGGAAGAAACAGAAGGCAGCTTCTTCACAGTTCAATTGGTTGAGAAAAGCTAATTGAATACTTACTTATGTTCTCGACACCCTCAAGAATGTGTCTGTGTCTCTGGGGCCTGTGTCCTCTAAGAAGGATGTTAAACTGTGTAATGTCACTTGAAGTTTTTACATGCCACAGTGATGATCTCTTGTACAAACTGCAGAAACTCAGACTGTCAGCAGTGCCCAAGTATCATGGTCCACTGGGCCCAGCATTCTGCTGCCCAGGAAGGAAGGGCATCAAGGCTGAGAGACAGATGGGGATGGGAAAGAATGGTTCTTACTAAGAGCTTATACTAGGGAATAGTGTTTATTAATGTTTTAAGATTTTTAAAAACAGGACAAAATGGCATGTTCACTGAACCTCTCAAAGTCCCGAAGACCCCATCCTTTCACCTCTGAGGTTAACTCTGTAACTCAGAGAGCCGGTGATCTTTGATGACAGTTATTGCTCTCCTTTGTGACTATATCAATCTTGGGGAGAGATGACATGAATACCCGGCTCTCCATCACTCACTTATTCCAGACTGGGAATGCAGGATGCTGGTTTGACCCTCATATTAACAGTTCTTGGCATCAGATAATAACGCATAGATTTTGGTATTAAGCAAGGTGGACGACCATGGAACATCAGTTTTACAGTCATGATGTCACCAAGAATAGAGACTGTGCCAAAAATATGGGAGCCATCAATAGTCCTTTCCTCGGGGGTAGGTGGGTGGAGAGTTCATTCTGCATCCAGAGCCAAGCTGAAGCTGCTGCCCGAAGTCACTTTTACGGCAAGGAAAATCTCCGAGAAATAATAGTGGATGGCCAGAGCCGAGGCGTTCACTGGAGGGCTGGGATACAAAGCAGATGGAATTTTATGAAAATATAACAGAAAGGCAGAGGAGAAGAGGGGTAGCCGTGATTAGATCCACTCATCCCTACGCCTAAATAATGGAATTTCCAGGAAGAGGAAACAGAAAAGAAACATCAGGGTTTCTGAGAATTAGAGGGTGCCAGTCTCCCTCATCACTCGGGTAGATCCAGAGTGCGGGACTGCCAGGCCCACAGGCTCAAATTGCAGGGTACAGTCCCTCACCTGGCCCACTCTAGCTATACTTCAGAGCGAGCGTAGCTTCTTTATGAAGAGAAGTAGACCGTCTCTCTGCCGAGAAACAGAATAAGCGCATTGTTCGGAAGAGAGCAGACCCTGGTGTGAGGGAGAGCAGGGGGCAGCAGTCTCAGGGAGGAGCTGAATCAGGTCAACTGTCATCAGTACTAGATTCAGAACCTTGGAGAGAGTAGACTTTGCTGACACGTGTGGAGGGGAGAGCATGTAGATAGATAGGGAAAAGGCCACGTGGATACAGCGGAGATCTGATGGATTGGTGATGAGCACAGGGTGCCGGGAGCCGTAAGGAGTAGAGACGCATACACGGGCATTCCTGGAGTCCTTAAGTGGCATGTTACTCTGCGTATTCCTTGGTTTTGGATATTGGGCCTGCAAACTCTGTAGTAAGATGCTTACATGTTCTAAGTCACCCATAAATGGCACCTGTCACATCTGTTTTGAGAGATTAACATTCTATGTAGGAGAGCTTTCCCAGATCACATGGACTTCAAACAGATGAACTGTTCCGTTCCCCGCTTCAGAGGTCAGAGGACCACAGATGTCAGTGGGGGTCCAGTGGTAAGTGTGTGTTCTGGGGGTCTAGGGACAGGCAGCGTCTAAAGTCACCTGGGACCTGAGTGAGGAGGGTGAGGTAAGACCGCCCAGAGGTGCTGATGACCAGAGCCCAAGTCTTCCCTAAGTCATCACCGCCCCGAAGAAAACATCAGGCCATGGCTCGTGTGGACTGGAGCACGTGACATGCTGCCAGAGTCACCAGACACGTGAATTCTAAACTTCTGCAGCTAATATGGCAGAAGCATCAGTTTCCCTCTGGAGTTATGTTTCGTCTTTGGTCTAAGAAGTTGGTACCTAGAGAGCAAGCAGGATTCAGACAACTAAGACTTTGGGGTTTCTTAGTTAGGAAGTAGATCTCCAGTTAGAAGAACCTGAACCTACAGTTATAAGTATCAACAGGGGTCTCCTCAGAATGTGGATGATGGGCACTCCAAGACCTTGGATGGTACTGATGGGGACTCTGGGGTCTTTGAATTTGTGGGTCCCTCTCTCCCGACTCGGAAGAGCAGAGACACAATGTCTCCAATTATCGTTGGCCGTTAAATGCTCTCAGAGAGTAAGCAGGTCTGAACTTTTTAAAGTGCCTTTGGGCAGGCCAGATAATTTCATTCTCCTCCGCTGCCTTCTGTAAATCCTTCAGAGGAGGAAATAAACCCATTACCGTCCTGCCTGGCTGTTCCCTTAAGCTGGCTGCGAGGAAGTGATGTGTGCCTGGCATTTGTGCGTCTGCGGCTGGACCCGAGATTTAGTGCAGGTGTCCTATGGGGGACCACGGTTGGGAGGAGACTGTCAGGATTAGATATGGGCGCCATTTTTGAACACAAATCGTCTGCCGTTGGGAAAGTCAAGGTGAATTCTACCATGGACTGTTTATGACTTCTTCTGGCTCCTTATATTTTCCTGTTTGGGAGCAAATGAAAGCTACTTGGCATGTTCAAAAAAAAAAAAAAAGATTTGCAGTTGTGGCAGGGAGGAAGTGTTGCTTCAGAGGGGTTGCAAGTGAGATACCTGGATTGTGCTGGTGACTTTGGGGGGTAGCAGCAGCTTGGGAAGCTCTGAGGGGAAGCAGGAAGCTTGAGGATGACGTCACCAGTACTCGAGCAGAACCGGGTGTCTACCTGGCTTGACTCAGAGAGGCTGCCCTTGGGAAGGGTCTATCAGGCTTTAAGGTCACATGTCACACAAACTGACCTCCTGTCTGTTGACTTAGTGGTCCGCAGGTTAGATCTTCCCATAGACACCATGGCCTTCAGGATCTGCCTTAAGCACAGGTCTCAGTTCAGGACCCAGGGGAAGGGTGACATTGTGGTCTTTCTGATGATACAGACCCAGAGAGACCTCAGCACTAAACTACTGAGTTGAGAGACAGTTGCCTAACGGGAGGGCCATGATCCACACTGGAATTGCCTGTTGCAGCTCTGTGTTCTTGCATCCTAAGCATTGAAGACTCAGGGCTGCTGTTGGGAGGGGTCAGGAACAAACCTGGGGGTGGCCCTGGTTGATAGAGACCGTGAACACCATAGCTTTAGATCACAGGCTGGAGTGGACACTGCTGCCCTTGTCTTGCTCTTGAAGATCAATTGACGAGGTTTTCACATGCTATGGTCTGTCTCCCAATGCAACGGTAAGCTGGGAGGAAATCAGAATATCTTTTAGAATTCTTATTCCATACCTTGATATCGACATGCTTATTGCTTTATCTCATTTGATTATTTTTGTTGTTATCAGATTTTACCTAGAGTCAAAAAATTGTCCATGCTGTTGAGTGCAGGCAATAGTATTTGGGAATAAAAAACATTCCCTACTGCACACAATGTCTTCTGAGGGAGTGGAGGAAGTAAGGTTGGCCCACAAGGATGGGTGGAAGGTCCCTGGTATTTCCTGGGACACCTCTGTCCTTGTGTGGCACTCACTGCTCTGAAGTAGCACAGCATTCCTGGCAGGCAGCTCTGGACAGCTGCCACTGCTGGCTGAGGGCCTGCCACGCCTGCTCCTGTGGGTCAGGTGAGAGTTCAGCTTTGCTCTGAGCAGCCTGGGAAGCAGGGACAGAAGTTTCCTGCTGAGAATGCCCACTGCAGGGTTTTCCCAGCCTGCACTTTGCTGAGGGTTTGCATTGTAGAATTTTCTTGACAAATCCGGTCTCTGTTATTCTCACCCTCAAATCAAATGAGACACTTCTTCACCTTTTGCTACCGAGGTTGGATTCTAAACACAGCTTTCTTTGTTTGTTTGTTTTACATTTTCCTCACAAATCTTCTGGGTGAGGGATGAGAGCAGCTGCACTGGGTCCTCCTCAGTGAAGCCCCAGCAGTGTCCCAACTAGGCTCCTTTGTCAGGCTCTAATTGCACCTAATATTTTAAAAGCCACCAGGAAAATTGGTGTGCCCATTTCCCTGCACATGGCCGTCCCTGCAGAGCCATGGTCCAGATCTCTTAGGGCCCATTAGGGTGTACATTACCCAGTGTCAGCCACATCCCAGGAGAACCATATACAATCAGCACACTTACTTGATTAACCTTTGCGATGAAAAATGTGTGTCATCAGCATTTCCCATCCAGGTTGATGATTGAGCCCATCTTAGGCGCAATGACTTTGTGCAACATGGAACGATCTTATGAGGAAGCCCCTCACAGCAGTTAATGAGATGCTTCACCTCTGCCTGAATAACAACCAAGCACATTTTATTTATTTGTTTTGAAACAGGTTCTGCCCGGCATCCTGCAGAAACACTGCTGCATTTTACCAGACAGGAACACAGGTAAGCTCCACCTCCTCTTGGTCTGAGACCTCAGGTTGTGTGTCAGCGACACAAAGAAACTCGATGCTCAAGGTAGACTGTTGTTGTGCGGGCTTTTTGCAGGTGTGTGTGTGTGTGTGTGTGTGTGTGTGTGTGTGTGTGTGATTATTTGATAACTGAAAGAAGCAGAAGATGGTGTCATTTTCCAAGCTGAGTTCAGATTTCTGTTTTTACTGACCAAAGAATGGATTCAGATGTCTATAATCTCCGATTTTTAAGGGGAATTGGCTGGTTTTTTTCTTTTCAAATCAAGTTAAATATATCATCTCCAAAACTGTTTTGTTTGGTTATTATGCTTATTTACTTAAAACAGCATGGTTTGTTTCTGGCTGGTCTGGAGTGTTAGGTGTCCATTGGCCATCAGGATTTGGGTGAGTTAGGGCTATTGTAGTGGATCCTTGTGCAATCGTGCAGCTTTGCAGCCTGGATGGATGGTGCGGGCAGAGCATAAGTGTTCTGCGCTGCTTCTAAGGAACTGTGATGGGGAGAAGGAGATCTAAAAGCCGTTCCGGAACTTGGTTGTTTTGACATTAGAGATGAGAATGTAAGGTGTGCTATCTTGTGAGTCTGTGCTCTGGTTGTTCCAGGTAGACAGCCTCTCACTGCGTTATTGTCATCAGAATGAAAATCTCAGTATCTAAGGAGCAGACAGATGTGGCTGATATCTGCAGAAGGCTTTGCAGAGCTTGCGCGTCCCTAAAATCCACTGTGTCTCTGCAAATGCAAGTCAGGATATATTTGTTTTTTTTTTTCAAGATAGGTTTTCTCTGTAGAACAGCCCTGGCTGTTCTGGAGCTCACTCTGTAGACCAGGCTGGCCTTGCACTCGGAGATCTGCCTGCCTCTGACTCCCAAGGGTGAGATCAAAGGTGTGTACCACCGTGCCTGGCTCATTCCAGGATATTTTTGTTGGGTATGAAACTGAGGTTTTCAGACAGTTTGTCTTCCATGGTGATTCACAGGGGTTGCTCTGGTGAAATTCCCACTGCCGCAGTATGGATATAAGCAGGCATAGTTACTGAGAGTGGCGGGGGGGGGGGGGATCCTGTTAATGTTAATATTCAGTGTAAACACAAAGGTTTTGGGAACATGAATTTTTAAATTAAGAAATGTGGATATGTTATGTTACTGATGTCATCCTTTTTCAAAGAGTTTGTTTCTTGTTACCAAAACATATTTGTATCTATCTACTATATTTATAAAGAAACATACTTATAATACTGTTGGATATTTCTTAAACTCGCATTTTCTGGCAGGCTTGGTCAGTAGTGAAGATGTTGGACATGTGCTGTGAGGAAGCACAGTGATTGGGTATGGGGAGGACCAGGGATCAAGTGGCATGTGCCGCCCTGGAAGCATCAGCAAGGCAATGTAAACAAGCCGAGCTCCGGCATGTGAGGATATCCGTGGGTTTGGAGGACTGGAATGAGTTTCGGGTATTTTGAGACACTTGACTATATGCAAAGCTTCAAGTGAGTTTGGAAGATGTTGCCATCTCAAGAAGGTTTATTTCCATTTCCTAAGAATGCTGCTTGTTGGCTCCTAGACCCAGGAAGGCTGCCTACACGGAGCTCAGTGTTGCTGAATTAAACATGGCTGGTTTTGAAATAACATGTATCATTGTTTTGTCCCTAATTTAATTACTTGCATTAATTTTGGTGAATGAGGTAAAGTGGTAGATTAATTTATTAACTGCTTTTCTCTTTACTACATCATTTTGGAGTTTGTTCACAAAAGAACTGAGGCAGAAGTTGAGCACATTTCTTTTTTTTGCCTTTGCTGGTTTGTGAAGGAAAGCCACAGGCATGAGGCTTTTTGAAGCTCAAAGGTGAACACAGCATGTCTTTGCCAGAACACAGTGCAGCTGAAGGGTGGCATGGCAGGAGAATTTCCACCACGTTTGTGCCCTGGTTGTAATTCAGTCTTTTACTCTGAGACACTTTTTACATTTTCTACTTCTGGTGACTTTAGTAAGGACTCCTTTAGCCTTTAGGTTGAGACCTGTGTACCCTGTAAACCCAGCCAAACAGCTGTGTGCTGACCCAAGTGGTCGGGGCATCTCTGTTGATACCTAAGATTCCAGTTGCTGTCTCTGGCCTGAACCTAGCCACATTTTGTTAGAAGTTGCTGCCCAAATATTTCAGTTGGGTCTCTCCTACCTTGGAACCCATTTTTGGTAAAAGGATCACTAACTGAGGGTGTCCTTGGCCACAATTTCTGGGGTACCACCTTTATTTTATGCAAGGCTGGTTCCTGGGCTTAGGTGGATGCAGACGCACAGGGCGTGCTGACTCCTGGGTGAATCTAGAAACTTTTCTGAGCAGCAACTTCGCCATATACATCATTTGATGACAACTGACCCTGACCCTTTCCAAGATAAAAGTTAACCCGTCTTTACTGTTTCACAGGCAGCCTGGTCCACACCTCTAAGCTGTGGTTATCTCTTGTATTGCTTGAACACTTTATGCCCTTGACTTGTGGGGCATGGGGACTTTGATTTCTGATGGGAAATGTAACACACAGTAAAACTATATAATCTTCTTCTGTTCTTCCTTCTTCGTGAGATTTGTGTGTGGGTTACATATGGGGAATATTAGGGAAGCCATCGGTGGCAACCGGTGGGAGGAATTGCACTTTTACTGAGATGCAGGCAGTACCAGTGTTGGCCCGTTTAGCTCTCATGTCTGTGTTCTCGTCCTGTTTGTCAGTTGTTTGTTTCAGTGTGGTCACGTGCGTTTGAGAAGTCTAGGGAGCCGTCAGTTGGACCCTGACTTGATTCTAGCTTGGCTGCCTCAGGGTGTTTTTCTGTGTCCATCAGGAGACAGCCTGTTCTGCCACCAAGAATGGAGACATTTTGGGAACAGAATCATCTTGTAAAATGGCAAAAACATTCATTCCCCGCAGGCCTTGACAACAACAAAGTAACAGGCCCTACACAGACTAGGCAGGCAGGGAGACCCGGCTTTCGGCTATATTTCAATTCAAAGTCTCAGGAAGGTGATTGAAACACATATCCATGGGAGCTGAATAGAAAGAGTTTTATGGTCTCGAACACATGTGTGGCTGTGATTCTTGCTTTTCTGACAGTTCATGTGGCATTCCCCGAACAACTGAGCATCCTTGTCTCTGAGGTTGCCTGACTGCCATTATGATGCTAGTCAACTTGTTTTCCTCACCAGGGTGACACTGGGTTGGGAGGAGCCCCAGCCTCTAGTGTTCGCCCATTTCTGTGTAGCAAATTCTGCTACCACGACCAGTTCCACGTTCTGCTATAAAGGTCCTGGAAAGAGTCTAGGAGATGTCCTACTCTGGTCAGACCCTGGGTAGGTGAAGGCTCTAGTCTTCGGTTCTGCTTTCCCAGGGTACTGACCGTGGTTAAACATGGTCTCTATGTGTTGCAAATTGCTTAGTGTATTTGGGCTGAATGGAATCTTGGATTAAAATCTAGTCTAATTTTACAATATCCATATAGGTTGGACAGATAATTCTGAGTTTTACATGCAGATATGCACTTTATGTGCATTATTTCATAGGACTTTAGAGGCCTACAGGGCACTCAAATTATACATCGTCAAACCATACAAGGAACAGGAGGGCTGTTGGAATTAGAGTTGGTGCCTGTCAACTTGCTTATTTAGTTCAGAAAACAGAGGGGAAGGACATCTTTGTTGAAATGGCAGCAAAGGGTGGTAATTTTATATCCACCGGGTTTCTTGTGAGCCAAAGGTTTTCAACAGCTTGTAATTTCACAGCGAAGAAAGAAAGGAAAACCGGTGAGTCAGTTTGTTTTTTTTCCGCAGCCCGTCCGCAGGGGCATGCCTCGAAGTGACGGGTGGCAGGGACAGTGCATCTGGCTCATACATATGTGGTAGCAATGTTGTTTCCTGGTGTGGCAATGGATACCCTGCACGATGGGCTTGCAGCACGCTGGCTTCGAGTTTTTTACATTAGCTTTGGCTATTGCCCATGTAGGAAAGGCACTGCCCTCTTCCGATGATGAGGACACAGACCCCAGTCCCTGGCTTTTGCCTCCACATAGCTGCTGAGTATTTGCAGCATCTTGCGTGGCATCTCATTCTGTGTTGGTCTGGGATGCTACAGGAGCGTCAGGGAATCCTCACTGTCCATGTGCTGCTCTCTGATCAAGTGCCGGCAAAATGATGCAGGAAAAATGCTGCTGGTGTGGGATAAGGGGGGCCGTGGTGACTCGTGAAGCTCCTGGGGCGAGTGCAGCAAGTTCTGTGTGGGGAAGGGTCCTGTGAGGTTGTGCAATGTACAGAGTGCACGCTCACAGGCACAGTGTGCCAACTGATGCCAGTTTAGTGTTACGGGTTGAAGGTTTATTCTTTGAAAGGCCAAATGCTTCAAAGTGAGCTTTTTTTCTTTACCCAGTTAATGCAATTATTTATACTTCCTTTTCCTTTTCCAAAAAGAATTGAGGTTGTACAAATAGAATGCCATATGATATGATTCATAAACTAAGAATAACGAGCACTGAGCTAAATGGAGAAAGCTAATGCTGTAAGCTGTGGAGATTTGCCTTCTCTTGTCTCTTAACACCCTGTGCTGTCGTTGAGCAAGCAGAGCACCCGTTTTCCTGCTGTCCCTCTCTTTGTCCACCAGCCAAGGACAGAAGAAAACCCTCTCATACATCAAAGGGCTTAATTTCATAAACTGAAAATGACTTTATTTGAAAATCGTTTGTGCTACGGAATCACTGCCGAAATATGAGGCTATAGGTCAATAATTTTAGGAGCAAAATTGCTTTATTCATTGTGGTTTTTCTTCACCTCTAGGGTCTCACTGTAGGTTGGATGACAGTTTTTCATTAAAGTGGAGAACTGTGCACTCAGTAGACGTGCAGCCCAGAGTGAACTGTGTTCAGCCCCATCCCTGCAATGGTCTCCTGTATGGAGCCTGAGGTGTTGACCCCACAGATCTGTGTACTCTCCCCATAGGTTT